ACACAAAATTGGGTCAAATATGGACAAACCCAACAGTTGGGTTAAATTAAAATTGTTTACCCAACTGTTGGATTTGTCCATATTTGACCCAATTTGGGGTTGAAACAACCCAGCATTTTTTAGAGTGTAAAAGTTATCAACGTGAACATAAATTCCAGGCCTATTGCTCCACTAATGAAATAGAATGACCTAAAACATGTCTTATTGCTTTTTCATGGAGGTTCTTCATTCCATTTTCTGCTTGTTTTAATTTTGATGTAATGTAGAAGCCACTGACCCACTTTAAGGACCCGAACCCTTCCTGTGCTCTGACTGACGGCACCGCGGGACACGAACGCCGCGCTCTCGTCCTCCTCGTCCTCCTCCTCTTCCCTCGCTCCGTCCTCCGGCCCGGGATGAGGAGAGCAGGGGAGTGATGCTAACACACAGTCTTCTGAAGGGTACTCACACACTCTCTCCAGCTGGACCTCATCGAAACACACCTTCACCTGCACCGAGAGAGAGAGAGAGAGAGAGAGAGAGAGAGAGAGAGAGAGAGAGAGAGAGAGAGAGAGAGAGAGAGAGAGAGAGAGAGAGAGAGAGAGAGAGAGAGAGAGAGAGAGAGAGAGAGAGAGAGAGAGAGAGAGAGAGAGAGAGAGAGAGAGAGAGAGAGAGAGAGAGAGAGAAGAAGAAGAAGAAGAAGAGAGTCAGTGAAGACACAATCCAGATCGGTGTAACAATGCACATGTTTACATGAGAGTTTTAAATTCATAGGATCATTTGATAGATAGATAGATAGATAGATAGATAGATAGATAGAAAGAATGATTCAAAAATGTAGGCCTAAAAAATTATTATCATTATTATTTAATACAATTTATAGTATAATTTTTGACATTTTCTTGCCATTTTTGAGTAGAAATTGATTCAAAATCCTACATCCAATTTTAGTGTAAATACACTGTGAAAATGTATTTGTACAAAGTTGGAAATAAAACAAAAATGATTGGAATACGTTTTACTAGAAAATAATAATTCCTAGTCTTATAATGTCTTCCTACTTCAAAATGTCATGTTTAATTCAATGTTACTTTGAATCAGTTTCTGATTATTTGTGAAAATTACTAGCAATTTTTCTGAGTGAAAATCGTCTCAAAGCAAATGAGAGTTTCCGAAAATGTCTGAATTTTAGAGCAGGACAAACATCTTGTTAAAGTCAAAGTCTCCCTTCACCAAAATGACCTATTTAAACAGGGTTTTCCTTTAAAAAAAAAAAATCTTCATGCCTTAAAATAACTTGAATGTAACCCGACACCCTTGCCTCATTTAGTATACGTGGTTCTATGAATATGCAAATGAGCCCCGCCTCCACTCACTCACTCAGCTCAGAGATCCACTTGGTGCAAAAACGGAAAACTTTTTATGCGTTTTGGCATTTAGCATTTTAGGGGCCTAAAAATGCAAACTCTTATAAACGGGTCGCAAATGTGTGTAAAACAGGTGATATATAAGGTGGTATTATGTATTTACATTGCGATTGCGACTCCCTTTTATACTAGAGGGCTCACATGGGTCTGAACAGGTATAGTTTACTCTGGCTTGTATCTTTGCACTGAATTTCGAGCTGGCACAGTAAAGACGCCTTTATAGTGCACTACAATCCACAATCCCAGGGGAACATGATCATGCCGAGTCCCTTAGCAAACCGTCCAAGAGAAGAGACAGCAGAACTAACACACCGGACACAGAGAGAAAGCAGCATTATCACGGCTTAACACACTGACGTCAGTCGATCTGCAGGGGGTCGGCGGTGATGCTGCAATGCATTGTGGGAACTGTTCGAGATGTCTCTGCATGCATGAACAGAAGAGTGAAGGTTAGATGTGGTCAGAGTGTAAACCAGGGTAATGACTGAGGAGCAGAGACACATTCACACACACGCTGTCTAATATAACGCGTGAACTGAAATTAGCATGAACTGATAAAACTTAGGCTGCTCTTGGTTGAATGCATTGTGTGTGTGTGTGTGTGCTACAGGAAGTGACACAGATCTGAGGAGGAAGTAGCCGGAGAGTTTGTCACGAGACTGCTTTAAAAACCCTAAAATGTTGCAGACAAATAAAACACACATTAGTTTGCGCTTGTAAAAATACACGTGGATCACCTTCATACATGTGTACAGTTTAGCGTTTCATGCAATGCTCTGCTTTTAATGTGCAGTTTTGAATATGGAATATATTTACACTAGCCAAGGCTGCATTTATTTGATCAAAAATACAGTAAATACAGCAAAAAATTTGAAATATTATTGTAATTTAAATCAGCTGTTTTCTATGTGAATATACAGTAAAGTGTAATTTATTCCTGTGATCAAAGCTGAATTTACAGCATCATTACTCCAGTCTTCAGTGTCACATGATCCTTCAGAAATCACTCTAATATGATGATCTGATGCTCAAGACACATTTATGATTATTATCAATGTTGAAAACAGTTGTGCTACTTCATATTTTTTGTGGAAACTGTTTGAGGTATGGGATATATATTATAATACTTGTATTCAGCACCTTTTTTTAAATGACAGTAAACTCATGTATATGGTCACAAAAGATTTTATGAAATAATTTCTGTTTTGAACTTTCTATACATCAAAGAATCCTGAAAAAAATAAAATGTATAAGCAGCATGATAATAATCAGAAATGTTATTAATAATTGAGCAGCACTAATAACATAATAATTGAGCTTCAAATCAGCATATTACAGGGTTACACAATTTACACAAACTAAGGCCTTAACAATTAGCAGAAAGTTATGGCTTTAAATGTTGTGTACGTTGCAAAAATTATCTTCTTCCTTAGTATTTGTGCCCTGTTTTCCATACAAATATGTAAACGTCCTTAAATCAAGATACGTGGTGTATCTCCACAGATATCGTTTGACTTCTGAAACTGGTGTCGTGCGAGGCTGGCGTAGTTCGATCTGCAGGGATTCCTACACTTCATTTATTTATTTGCAGCTGAAACTCTTTAAGCTAAAATATTCACTTGAAGTTCTTAAGATTTTAAGTTAATATGTCAAACACATTTGCATGTTCAGGGATCTCTATTGTCAGTTAATGGTCACATGACATGCAAATAAACAAATAAAATATTTCTTTATTTAGTGTGTTTAATTTGATTCTTCATTGTACTTTTTTATTATTATTATTATTATGATTTAATGATTTTTTTTTGCATTCCAGCAATTCCCAAACTTCCTGCATTCGCCTCTCAAACCCCAGTTTAATAAAGTAAATGTAGGCCGTTAATGATAATGTATATATGAACACATATGAAATGACTGTATTCTAATGTAGAAATGAGGTGTGAATTTATAAGCATTGCACAGTAGCCTCTAACAGAAATTTATTTGCTTTCTCCACTTGAATTGGAAGAGCAATTGTTTTATTATTGTGATCATAAACGCGTGTGTTCTTCTAGCTCAAGAGTCCAGTTTCATTATTGTGTTCTCTTGATGTACATTTGACTCCGGTTCCTGGCAGAAGTTAGTGTGTGTGAGTGTGTGTGTGTGGTTACGCTGATCGCCACAATGCAAACATACTGCTCTATTAACTCCCTGTGAAAACCCAACTAAATGAAAAGGTCATTCTTCTGCCCCTGAGAAGACGCTGCCAGACTCTGGCGTTCCCTGTTTCTGCTCTGCTGAGCTCTTTTGTGTCCGCTGTGTCCCACTTACTCCAGAACGCTTTGTTTGATGAGATCAGCCATTAAACCCCACATCGCAACGGCCACATATCTCACGCATGCAAACTCTGCTGATTTTAGTTGTGATCTGTTTCCAGAAGTGAAAGTTTCCAGAAGAGTGTGTGTCAGTGTTTTTGCAGCTCGAGGGAGGAACTGCACCGCTAGTTTAGGGAAGCCAAGCGTTCATCAGTGTATCGTGTGTGTGTGTGTGTGTGTGTGTCAGCCTCACTGATGTATTCTGCTATCAGATGCCATCATAAATGGCTTGCGGTCACACCGGTGTTCCCTACGAACTTTAATTCCCCCTGCTGTAACCCAAGAATAAAAGTGAGACGTGACTGACAGCAATGATAGTGCGCAGTAAACATCTGGTGGATTCAGTGAAGGATTCGTTCGACTGTCTTCATTAGATGCATTCGCTCGGGAAACAGAGACTACATTGGTTGCGCTTTCTTTGTTTTGGTATAAACAGTGAAGACAATGCAATAGAAGGACATTGTCTTTGAATCATTTTGCAGTTTCCAAGGAAGCTCAGAATCTCGAGCTTTGCATTTATTACTTTGCAAAAAATATATAGATATAGAGCAAATATATATATATATATGTGTGTGTGTGCAAATGTATTGCACATATCCAATACCGGTCAAAAGTTTTTAATGTTTCTGAAAAAAAAAGTGTGTTTCTGCTCACCAAGGCTGTATTTATTTATTATTGTGAAATATTATTTTGATTTAAATCAGCTGTTTTCTATGTGAATATACAGTAACGTGTAATTTATTCCTGTAATTAAAGCTGTATTTTCAGCATCATTACTCCAGTCTTCAGTGTCACATGATCCTTCAGAAATCACTCTAATATGAGGATTTGCTGCTCAAGACACATTTATGATTATTATCAGTGTTGAAAACAGTTTTTTATTTTATTTTGTGGGAACTATGAAACTCTACCATTCAAAGGTTTGGGGTAAGAAATATTTAAAAAATATATATTTTAATGTATAATGTTTAGCAAGGATTTATTAAATTGATCAAAAGTGACAGTAAAGACATTTATAATGTTACAAAAGATTTTATTTCAAATAAATGCTGAAATCCTCATATTAGAGTGATTTCTGAAAGATCATGTGACACTGAAGACTGGAGTAATGATGCTGAAAATTCAGCTTTGATCACAGGAATAAATTACACTTTAAAATATATTAAAACAGAAAACAGCTCTTTTATTTGTTTATTTAACAGATATTTTAACGTGTAATCATATTTCACAATATTACTGATTAATGAAATAAATACATCCTTGGTGAGCTTAAGAGACTTCTTTCCAACACATTTAAAAATCGTATGTTTCCAAACGTTTGACCGGCACTGCATATTATAATTTTTTTTTTTTTTGCTTTACAGTGTGATTCGGTGGCATGTGGATTAAAACCCTATAGATAAAATTAGTAGTCAAGTTCAATCAAACCGGTCTACTAAGCATTAAAAATAAAACTACTACACCATGAGCTTCTCTGGTTCATTTTAGACTAACACACGTCTAGGTCAGACAGGACAGTGTCAGGGTTAAGGCACTGAAGAAGCCACGACTGCAATAGAT